ATGTTGTTGATTAGCACCCAGCAGCTAGCTTGCTCCGACCATAAAGCTGCTGTTAGCGGCTCGCTGTGCAGTGAGGTGAGATCCACATACAATCTTACTATGCTATAAGACACCAAATTACTTCACTAATGAAAAATGTGATAATACAGCTGTTGAGCCCCAACATATTACGGTAGGGAAATTAATTCACCACAACAGCCCTAGGTGACATACCAGCGCCAAAGGGAATGTGTACGATCTGATCTGAAAAGGCCTTTAATTGCTACAGCAAGACAGAGGTGAGTGGTGGTGAGTCTACTGAAACAATGTGTATCAAGTGAGCCAATTAACAGCCATTATGTTTGTTTCAGAGCTAAACGGTTGGCATAATTGTTCTTAATGAAGTTGTGGATTAGAAGCGACATGTCTGGCTTTGGCAATAATAAAATGCAATGGATAGAAAATTGCCTTACCTTCATATTCTCTGTGTTATCTTCTTGCACTGCACAGGGACCTACCTAAAATGAAGAAAAAATAAATACGCACACACGAGGGGAAAGGGGAAACACTGGAGAATGCAAAAAATGACAATATACACATAAACCTGCAATTTGTGTATCTCTCAAATAATTCAAAATATTGGTCTGTTTTTTTTTCAAGGAATACAAATAAAATTCATGTCTACATAACATTAAAACTAAGCTTAGCTGTAAGCTAATTGGAGAATGAAAAGATGAGTGTCAACATTTCACAATTAAGCTTTTCCTGAAAAGCGAAATGTGCTTATAAGTCAACCTAAATCTCTTTCAGGCTGAATGATAAAAGCTGTGTGAAAGTAAAACAACTCTGGAAAAGGCAAAAATCAGGCTGCAACACAAATGCAAAGGGTAGAGCCCAGGGTAGAGCTATCTGGGGAGCCCTCCAACAGCCCATGGGAAAGGAAAAGAGGTTGACACTGGTGCAGCATGAGCCGTAGGTTGAAGAACACAAGGTGAGATCCAGTAGAGTTGGCATGAAACAGCAAGGTGACTGTAGAAAGTAACTACAGGCAAAACTACTTTAAGGTCACCTAGGAGAAACTGGAAAGTTGAATCCCAGAGGAGGATGTTCCTGAAGCAGGAGGGACATGATGTTCTTCTAAGCCCATCAAACAAGCCATCTGCTGGGGCAAGGCGGGGGCACCAGGATGCTCTCTCTCTACACAGAGTGAGAGTGCTCCATCATGCTAAACATAAACATGTCAACCAACTGAATCGCTGCTAATGTGCATAATATGCTAATGTTAGCATGCTGGCAACAAGAGTGGCTTTTGCTCATCTTGGCCCAGCCTCAGGCAAAATTACATTTTTGCTCCACTAGTTGTAAGGAATTAAGCAAACCCTTTCAACAAGTATTAAATATAATGTCATTATAAAATTATTTAAATATTTAAAATAATAATCATATTTTTTAAGCTCTTCATATGTTTTGTGTGTAAAAATCTTACTTTGTAAAGTAACTAGTAACTGAAGCTGTCAGATAAATGCAGTGAAGTGAAAAGGACAATATTTCCGTCTGAGGTGTAGTTGAGTAGAAGCAGAAAGTGGCATGAAAATAAAATACTCAAGTAAAGTACCTCTCATTTGTTCTTGAGTACAGTACTTGATTAAATGTACTTAGTTACTGCCCACCACTGCCAATATCACTGCTCACATTCACTTGTTTTCACACCCTGAACATTTGTATATATTCATTATTTTTATAGTTATCTGGTCATGAACTGAATTGTTAGACAAGTGGCAATGTCAACTTGGTGTTCAAATTTTCATCCTCGCAAAAAACATGAAAACATGAATTACCCTCTAAATCAAACTGCCGGCTCTCTTTCACAATGAAAGCAGGCAAACATACAGGCCTGTAAGTGTGAGCTTGTGTGTGACAAGTTATGTCGCAATCGATGCACATTCATGTGGGATCCCGCACCTGCGATATAACACATTGATAACAGTCAACCAAGCCAACTTTCCCCTGGTTCTCCTTTGTTCTCTCCAGCAATATTCTTCCATCACAACAAGCTGTCCATTTCTCTCTCCCTTTACCCCTTTCCCTCTCCTGGAAAGGTAAACAAGCTCTTGTTGAGCAGCCCCACTCATTAGCCCCATTGGCTGGACAGCTGTCTCATAAAACAAGCTGGCGTTATGGCAACTCACACTTCAATGACTGTGCAACACAGTGCTGGTGTAAAATAGGTTCAATTGTTGTAGCATAGATTAAAGAATTTAAACCAGGTGACTCTCAAATATAGCTAAAAACCCAAACTAATGAAAAGATGAAATATTTGAGAGAGGACATCGTTTTCAGCTTGAAGTCGATACATAAGAATACACTATTAAGCAGATTTATGTGAAAAAAGAATTCATTCATTTATTAAAGAAAAGTAGAATTACAATTCTTCCCTCATATGACTGGTATTCCTCATTACACCAGCTGCCTGTAAACTACTAGTTAATTCATTGCATTTCTTTGTGAAAAAGGGACATTGTGCTGTCTCATGAATATCCATCCACCCTACCCATGCACGCAAAAGGATTTTGCATTCGCTGCTGTTGCTGAGACAGGAAATGAAGGGACCCGTATCACCCAATAACAACACCATGTTGACAATGAAGCTCTGACCACGGATTGAGGGAGAGATGGAAACACGATGATTCAGAGAACAGAACACTCACAACCTGATCAGTATACACCAGTTTACTGCGTCGACAACCAGAATAGAAAACAATCTAACTCTGTTTGTAGCCCACACATTCATTCATTGCTCATGTCAATCTGTACTACAATCAGTCATGCTGTGTTAAAAAAATAAAAATAAAAAAAAGACACTGAAACTCCCTGGATTAAGTGGGAGTGTATTCAACTTTCAACCTACAGGCAGAAGTGATGAAATTTAATAAGAAGAATCTCATTGAGGTTGTTTTAATGCAAAGGTGTCAAAGAATCATGGGCAGTTTAGGTTTTCACCCAGTTTTACTGGAAAGAAAATCTGATTTTGGGCTGTCAAAGTTACACTACTCGTACTACTACTACAAACTCCTCCCCAAATGTAAGATTAATCGATTTCCTAATGTAGGCTACACCTGTCTTTAGGTAAATGAAGAGTAATAAATGTTACAGGAAGTTCAAAAGCATGCAACACTGCCACCATATGGACTGAGTTGTGTATTACACCAACTATACAAAGCCACACAGGGAATACAAGCACCCATCACTAAAGACATTCAGATCTCATTGCGTTCACCATGGAATGACAGCCCAACTAAAGGAGACAAATAACTAAAATCCCACTTGAATAAATCAAATACGGATTTTTTTATTTCATACATGGGACTGCATCTTTAAAAGGCTATTTGGTTACTGTATGTGATGTGAGGATCTGCTGGCAAGACCCTATTGTTGCCAAAGTCTTGTAACAATAAACTGTTGAAGCTTAAAATTACATCTATGTAGACAGGAAACATTGTTTTGTTTTTTTTTAAGTTTCTGCATTTTCATTCTTTAATTTCACCCTATTTAAGCTTTTTCTGCTATCTGTGAAAAAATGTGGGATATTGTTCTCTTGGGCTATCGCTTGACACCACAATTGCTCCATAAAGTAGCCTAAATGTTGTTGGTGTTTTTTTTTTTACCAACAACTGCTACAAAAAAATGTGAAGTGAATGAATAGGTTAGCCTATTTAGTAATTTGCAAAGCAAGTCAGAACCATATTTGGTTTGACAACAACTTCAGCTTAGCTGCAAATGGTAACTGGTTAGTGGGTGATGTTTACCTGCCAGTTGGTAGGCTTTAGTGTTTTTGGTAAAGAAAGGTTGCATAACTTTGTTTCTTCAAATTTTCCTTTTCTTTTTTTAGTGTGTGTCTGTGTGCGTTAACTTTTCTTTTAATATCAGCATTAATTACAAGAGAACTTATAACTTAACACAATTTGTGATATCCGGACTTGGTATTGGGAAGTAATCTAAAAGCCACTAACGGTTTATGTTGGATGAATCATGGGAAGAAGGGCGAATTTAATATCAGGAGGGAAGTGGGGGGGGGGGGGCAAAAGCCGATGTCAGGCCCGTCTTTGATAAAAGTCATGTAAAATTTGTGGCATGAAATATCTCCCCTACAGTTGAAGCACTGTGCACAACTCTACTCCAAATGGCGAGTAAGCGCCATCTTAGATTTTACGTGCGTTTCGTAGCAGCCTAGGCTATCTATAAAAAAACTCAGTCAGTCTTAATGAGCTGCGGTTTTGCTACTTTACACTCGCCTATTTTTTCACCTGGTAGGTTTCTGTGAAGTCTACCTCCATTTAGGTTAATTTAAAAAAAAAAAAAAAGTTACATTACTCAAATGAGTGGTGAACGCCTGAAATGAGTGGGTCACTAGCATAGCAGTCCAGGAAACCCAATAACATAGCATTAGACTCCGAAGTCAGAGTAAGAATCCCCGGTCAACCCCTAACGTTAATCCTTTTGCAGCAACCTCCTCCTTCTTTCGAGATACAATACTGCCCTCCTGTGGCACTTACTAAATATTACAACCGGCACAGGACACATCTCTCGCTTAGAGCGGAGGATACGGGTACCAGAAAGTGCAGCGACGGCAGCAGTTAAGGTGGACGTTGACAGCGAACATAATCGGTATTTTCTTCAAGAATGAACTGTATCTTTTTAACAACGCATGACTTGTGGTGTGCAGACACCGCGGAGATAGGATGACAGCCTGCTGTGGCTCGGACTCAGTCACATGGTGTTTGGATGGGCAGTCGTGAAAGCCACATCAGGGTGTACAGACGTGTTAACCAGGCATCTGCTGTCAGTGTGTGACCAGTTTCACCGCAGACCTGCTGACACTGGGAATTCCCATCACAGCATGCCTCACAAGAGCAAAAAAGAAAAGGTTAAGCGGATTTTTGGATTCAAATGTACTTTATTAAATGTTAGCACAACATACTTTGTATTTAATTTTGTTTGACTGATTCCTCACTTTTTGTTAGGAATCCTCCAAATCTGGAAGGTCTAAAAAATCTGGAAGTAAAAATGGGCCTGCAGACGACCAAGATGTAAGTATTTTTTAACTTTTCACTGTCCATACAGGACTTGCATTGTTAACGCTACTTTATAAAAATGTGTAATATAAGAAATGCATTAGTTAGCATGTACAAATATAAACTATATACTATATAAGCTGTGAACGGTATGATTATTGTAAAGATACCACAGGATACTACAATAAATACATTAAAGTAAGGAAAGTCATTGTAAACTAAGTATTGAGTAGTAATTTCCTTTTGGTATAGCCAGTGTTTAAGTTCTACTCAAAAACTTCACAGGGATGTTACACACACGCGCGCACACACACACACACACACACACACACACACACACACACACACACACACATTAAACATATCACATGCACATGTAAGGATATTAAACAGATGCATTCATTCTCTCACTTTTTACACCAACATTTGCTTTTTAACATTTTGTCCTTATGAAATGTAGACAAAGTTGCTCATGTGACGATCTTATGACTTTATCTTCTAATAAAATACTTCCATTCAATCCCTCGTTCTGCCCATCATGACTTGTTTGGCCTCTAAGTATAATACGAGGCATTGTAGCAGCTATTTTTGGCCTTATCGTTTCTGGCGTACGTCAGTGATGGTGAGTATAGTACAATGACATTGGAAGAGACCTGATTGATTGACTGCTGGACCTGCTGTTTGTTCCCATTGACAGCTTTATCAGCTCCATCTGTGCTCAATTATTCTGACCACTGAGGTCCATCCCGAACTCTGTCAACAAATGAAGTACAGTACACCGCCGAATGTGATCAGGTTGCTTCACTGAGAATCACCTGATCTGATTCGGAAAGGAACTTGACCCTTAACCACAACACCCTCTCCTCTCCTCTCCTCTCCTCTCCTCTCCTCCTTTGAACTTGAATAAAGTGATTCCTTTGCCATTTCCTTTGGGGCAGGAACTACCGTGCCCTACAGTGCTCCAGTAACGGGAGCCCTTCCTCTGCGACTCTTGTTTCTGCAGGGCTCCAATAAGAAAGTGCCTCCCGCAACTCAGCTGATGAGGGTAAAGCAGCCAGTGTCACACTCTGCCGTGAAGAGGGAGAAGAGGTTCAGCACGTCCTCTTTCCCCCTCAGCGCTAAAAGAGAGCTACAGAAACTACCTGAACTGGCAGGTATGCGTCGCTCAATATACAGTATCCCCATTTAAAGCTGTCCCTCTTTTCTTCACGTTTCCTTTGAACGCTACTCTTCTACATTCTGTAATAACACATGCATACATAGGTAAGTTTTTACTCCTGGAAAACACTGACCTTTGTCTAAGATGAATGTTTGGCCTATGTGGATGAAGAGAATCATATTAACAATTCATAGCCTTGGTGGATCCTCATAACCGCCTTTTTAACCTTGAGGTCTTTGCTCACTACATAATTTATAGCTAAGCAGTCTGTCCATCAGCTTTATCTGTAATGCAAATGATGTGCAATCAGCTGCATCTCCAACCTGGAAGAAACAGATATTACCCCCAGAGGGGTCACTCACATAAGAAAACTCTTGACTCAAACAATAAATCAAAATATAAGCCCAAATCAAACATAAACTGTAAACTCCGTCATATCTTGGAGCATCAGGCATCCTATAGCATAAGCTTGTGATACAACCATGAAGTTTGAATAGTTGTGATAGGAGGTTTTAACTTGTTTCAAAGTTACTCTAGTTATCAGCACACCAAGTATAATAACTCTAGCAAGCGAGCCGGTCGCACTGTCAGTATTTTAATTTGCCGTATTCATTGAGTCTATTAGTACGTATCACACTGATGCCGATTCTGTGATACAGGAAGATTGAGGTTTGAACATTTACATCAATCTTTCATGGCTTCTTTGTTTACACACAGCATTACAGGCAGGATCTGGCCTAAGTGGTTTCCTGTAAACTATACCCAGCTATGCTTTGTCCTCATACCTGAATGAACTGGGTGACACTACAGAGAAACAACAGAGGCGTACTAGCCTAAAGAATTTTGGAAGTCTGTGGGCGACACTGCCACAATTAAATCAAACAAATACTGATTAGCTTAGTTTTCATTTAAAGAAACACTCTTTTTTTTCCTGGGAGTTTTGAGAAGACGGTGAGGGGGAAAGGAGTGGGAGGAATAAGAAAATGATCTACCTGACCTGTCAGTAGACAGTAGTGACCTGAAGAAACATGCATGAACAAGCTGGGCATTGAACATCATCGTAAATTACACACCTGACAGAGGTCAGATGCAGTCAAGATAACCACTTGCTCAGTCACTATGGGTGAGTGACTGTTGTACTGTAGTTGTATGTATAGGTGCTGGTCATATAATTAGAATATCATCAAAAAGTGAAACTTGGGATATTATATTCATTCATTACACACATGATTGATATATTTCAAATGTTTATTTCATTTAATTGTGATAATTAAAACTGACAACTAATGAAAATCCCAAATTCAGTATCTCCAAAAATTAGAATATTACTTAAGACCAATACAAAAATAGGATTTTTAGAAATGTTGGCCAACTGAAAAGTATGAACATGAAAAGTATGAGCATGTACAGCACTCAATACTTAGTTGGGGCTCCTTTTGCCTGAATTACTGCAGCAATGCGGCGTGGCATGGAGTCGATCAGTCTGTGGCACTGCTCAGGTGTTATGAGAGCCCAGGTTGCTCTGATAGTGACCTTCAGCTCTTCTGCATTGTTTGGTCTGGTGTATCGCATCTTCCTCTTCACAATACCCCTTAGATTTTCTATAGTGTTAAGGTCAGGCGAGTTTGCTGGCTAATTAAGAACAGGGATACCATGGTCCTTAAACCAGGTACTGGTAGCTTTGGCACTGTGGGCAGGTGCCAAGTCCTGTTGGAAAATGAAATCTCCATCTCCATAAAGTTGTTCATCAGCAGGAAGCATGAAGTGCTCTAAAACTTCCTGGTAGACGGCTGCGTTGACCTTGGACATCAGAAAACACAGTGGACCAACACCAGCAGATGACATGGCACCCCAAACCCTCACTGACTGTGGAAACTTTACACTGGACTTCAAGCAACGTAGATTCTGTGCCTCTCCTCTCTTCCTCCAGACTCTGGGACCTTGATTTCCAAAGGAAATGCAAATTTACTTTCATTAGAGAACATAACTTTGGACCACTCAGCAGCAGTCTGGTCCTTTTTGTCTTTAGCGTAGGCGAGACGCTTCTGACGCTGTGTCTTGTTCAAGAGTGGCTCGACACAAGGAATGCGACAGCTGAAACCCATGTCTTGCATACGTCTGTGCGTGGTGGTTCTTGAAGCACTGACTCCAGCTGCAGTCCACTCTTTGTGAATCTCCCCCACATTTTTGAATGGGTTTTGTTTCACAATCCTCTCCAGGGTGCGGTTATCCCTATTGCTTGTGCACTTTTTTCTACCACATCTTTTCCTTCCCTTCGCCTCTCTATTAATGTGCTTGGACACAGAGCTCTGTGAACAGCCAGCCTCTTTAGCAATGACCTTTTGTGTCTTGCCCTCCTTGTGCAAGGTGTCAATGGTTGTCTTTTGGACAGCTGTCAAGTCAGTCTTCCCCATGATTGTGACTACAGAACTAGACTGAGAGACCATTTAAAGGCCTTTGCAGGTGTTTTGAGTTAATTAGCTGATTAGAGTGTGGCACCAGGTGTCTTCAATATTGAACCTTTTCACAATATTCTAATTTTCTGAGATACTGATTTTGGGGTTTTCATTAGTTGTCAGTTATAATCATCAAAATTAAAAAGAATGAACAATTGAAATATATCAGTCTGTGTGGAATGAATGTATAAATTATACAAGTTTCACTTGAATGGAATTACTGAAATAAATCAACTTTTTGATGATATTCTAATTATATGACCAGCACCTGTATGTAGTATGCCTTATGTCTTTCTAATTGTTTTATTTAGAAGGGTAGTCATATTTCAGACATTTTAACATATCTGAATGAGCGCCATTTTCATAATCAGTTGGTTAAAGCAAACCTTTCAAAGCAAAAATGCCAAATATTACCCAGTTCCAGATTCTCCAAAGTGATTTGATATCCTTGTAAACTGAATATGTTTGAGTCTTGGATTGAAAAGGTAAACCTAATTTTTCATGGTTTTCTTACACGTTATAGACCAAACGATTCATTGGTTAATTAAACAAAACGTCAGGTTAATCGATAATGAAAAATAATCTGAATGTGGATAACAGCTCACCAGAAAGATATTTAATTCAGACATTCTGCATGGCCATCCCTGTGCAAGAGAAATCTTTATTTTGTATGATTCATTTATTTTTCAAAACAGATTTCAGTGCAACATTCAAGGCAAATTGTTCATTGCATATAAGAAAAGGTGGTCTGTTGAAACTTAATTGCGAACGTCTTGCTTCATTAAATGAATTTCATGTTTTGTTTCCCCTGATATGATGACATTTTACTAAAAAGCATAGTCATTAGACTATGCTTTTTAGTAAAATGGCCTTCATTTCTGTAGAGTTCTTCTGGTTGAACTTGAGTTGTATTTTAGGGAGCCTGTTTTGAGGCATATTTTCTTTGGGAGAGGAGAGAAAATTCTTCTTATTTGCAATGTAATATTATATTTTGTGTGTGTGTTTTTTTTTAAACTAAATTTTCTTCGCCCCTTCCCCACAGTGTATTTGGTGTTGTACAAGTCCATGCGTGACACAAATGCTACTGTAGGTCAGCAAAACATAACTAAATAGAAAACCACTAAAACAATAGAATAAAATATCACATCTCACTCAGAATCATGGCGCAAACAGACTGCACGAGAAGTGTGGACAACATTTGTAAATGGAAAAGTTTTATTGTAGCTTCAAGTTCTAGCCATTTGAACACAAACATCATAAAAAGGCTATTCATTGCGACTGTATGTGTGTGTGTGTGTGTTTGAGAGAGAGAAAATGAAGGTCTGTAAATGTTGGTGACAGTATCAAATGAAATGACTATGGATTTTATCTAATTTTTTTGTCTTTATCGAGTGACTACAGTTGACTGAGTCTTACTTGCTGGTGTGGACAACATTTTGTCAGCAGGACAGGAGGTTTTGTCCGTAGGCAACAATGCATGTTTGATGAAGAAGGGTTGTAAACAGTATGTTGTTCCAATTGTTGGTAAAACATTTTTGTGCTGTTGCCATATGGCACTCTGTGTATGTGTGTTTCTTAGGGCGGGTTCATACCTAAAGGTCTGGTTCCTGAATTGAACCAACGCGAGGGTGATGTTTGCGTTCACCAAAGCAAAACTCAAACAAAAGCCATATTGGTGGAAATGGCATTCGATTATTGGTCATACAGTCGGCAGGTAAAAAAAACAAATACTCCAAATACTCCAAATACTACAGTACTTTCATGTACTGTTGATGCAGTTTTTCTTTCCCACTACACTTCTCAACTGTTCGCCTTCTCTAAGTGAGACACGTTCTCTTCAGAACAAATATTCAGGATCTCATTATCTCACTTCCTCATGAGTTTAGGTTTGTCCTTTGCTTGTTGACATTTTGGTAGCAAAGTCACTTAAACAGGAAGAGAAATATGCTCCAGGGTTTGGTTCAACTGGACAAAGCAAAGACAAAAAAAATTCCTTGAAAAGACCAAAACCAAAAATGTGGTAGTTCAACTCTGACTTTCTGACCCTGCTCTGTCTGTGGGCACTCAGATGCAACACTATGTGCTCCTAGTAAAGACATGAATCTTATAAGGGGTTACATATACATTGTTTAATTTAAAAAGGGCTCAGTAATTTGGTTCACACTAGATTCTTATCAAACTTTATTCAACGTAAACTAAATTACATTTGTTTGGGAGTATTTTCAACTGGAGATTAATACACATTTAATGCGTTAGTGAGTATTTACGCCATCAGGATGGTGTGTGCGCCTGACTGAAAATAAAGTACAGTGTGTGGTGTGTTCATGTTAATGAAAGAAAACACGTCACCCGTTGCAGCACTGTGCCTCATTGATGTGTATTTAATTGTTGCTGGACAACAATGGAGGTGTTTGGCACAGAGGAATAACTTATATCAGGATCAATTCATATTGATTTTGGTCTTTTCATGGGATCTGGTGACAATAATAAACAATATGGAAAATCGCCTGGTGTGTTTCTCAACCTGTACACACACTCCAGCCTGTCCAACCAGTAGAAAGTAAGTGGCAGCTTTCTGGAAATACTGGCGCCGGTTGTCATGGCTGTGGAATGTAATGGCACCTCTTGGAGAGGCTTTGGCCCCACAGTGAGAGAATGCCAAGAGTGACAACTGCTAAGTGATACACTTGGCCTTCCTCTTTTCTCCTGTCCTCTCCTTTAGTCCTTTCCCTTTCCCCTTGTCGCACCATCTGACTACTCCTCTGTCTTTTTTAATACAGTTTTGATACAGACTGTAAAGACATCTGAGTATAGAAATAACAAAAGAAAGAAGGAAACAGTGAGAATAAAGACAGTCCACAATGAAGTTATCACTCCACCTGCTGAGGCAAAAAGTACCTGCCAAGAAGAATTTTTACTTGCAAAAAAGACATAAATAGACACCTATTTATGGGTCATGCATCTTTAAAATACATATGCCATTTTGTTTTATAATTAGATATGCATTTAAACAAGGTGTTATTAGGATTTCGTGCTTAGTAAGTGGTAGGACAACTGTAACATGAGCTACTTTAAATCACACCCTCCTCATTGATTGACTCTTAATTAATTAGTTGTTAACTAATCGTCTGACATCGTTCACTGTTGGAAACCAGCACAGTCCCTTTGTAAATCACTGTGAAATTGGCGTTGAACCCCACTACTCTGAAGACTCTGATCAGCCTTGTGGTGTGAACGTGGTTGCACTTCTCGTGTCCTCGGGTAAATCACATGAAACGTGGGAAAGCTACTTCATTATGCAGAGAGGGTGTGCAGATTTGCCACCTTGGAGTTGGACTTCATTTGGTGCACAGACTCATGAAATAATTATCCACTTAAGGGTTAGTCTAAATATACCTAACCAATATAACTGTACGTGTGATATACTATTATATTCAACTTGTATGATACATATAGATATTCTTAAACAGATGTTTAAGTCACTGAATAAACTTTCAGTCAGGCTGCAAAATGCTGCTCGGAGCTGCAGCAGTTTCCTGCGTTGCGTGCATTTAATTTTCTGTCCTCTCGCTTTCATTTCCTGTTTACAGCTAATTTTGTTTTTTTACGCTTGTATGTCACCCAGAATAACATAATGCAGCAAATTCTGCCATCGCTCCGAATACTGTGAGTCATAAAACCCTCTCACAAAATATATTATGTAAAGCCACTGAACATGGTAGCTTAATTTTGTTCTTACTGGAAAGTAGCCTACTTAAAGTGTACTGCCATCAATTTGATATCTTTTTTAACTGTCTTACAGGACTGGATCTAATCACTTATTTATTTTTGAATAATCAGGATGACACTACACCATGCATTTACATGGTCTTTCATCTTGTGTAGTGAATAATCACACCACAGCTTTCTATTGAATTTCTTTAGTTTTTCTTGCTGGCGTGGTCAGACATTTGAAGCCCCAAGAGTCCTGTCCTCAGCCCCTCATGTGGTTTCTTCATGTCTCCTTCTGTTCCTCATTGAATCCAAAGATGTGAGGCCCCCTCTGACCCTCTCCTGCACCTCTCTTTGATAAAGAATCAAGTAGAGATGACAGGAGGAAAACAATGAGAAGACTTTGAAGATTCAGTCAGGGCCTCTCTCTCTCTCTCTCTCTCTCTCTCTCTCTAAGCAGTCAGTGTAAGTTATTTCCAGCTGCTTATCCAAAGTCAGATTATGCAGAAACCCCTGCTAATGGTTAAACTATGGAAAGGACTTAAGTCAATCTGATCTTAGATCTGTAACACCGCCTGCCTTGCACAGCGTCACCAGACCAGTGAGTGTGGAGGAGGAGCCGGACCCCCCCCCCCCGAAAAAAAAAATTCCAACGCATGTCCCGCCTCCTGTGCGTCCGCACCAGCCAATCACGCCCCCTCTCTCCCGGCAGCCTTTGCTTTCATTGCTCCAGAGCGGCCCGAGCTCAGCCAATCAGTTAGCTTCTTCGCTGCTCACGTCACTAACTAGCCAGTTCCCTCCAGCAGCGGAGAGCTTCATTTTCTGATCTGCTTTTGTGCTAAAATGGAGGCTGGCCTCTCGCCCTGAGTGGATCGCCTTCCTGGTTGAGGTTTAGATGTTGACATGCAATAAATCTGGAGACAGGATGGTTGTGGATGCACCTAATTCCAATGGGCCTTTTCAGCCGGTGGCTCTTATGCACTTCAGAGGTACGTAAGGACAAATTATTCTTGCTGTATTATCCTAGGGAATTAAGGAGAGAGAGAGAGCCGTGTGTTGCTGTTCTCCTGTTCTCCTCCGCTGGCTCGGTTAGTCAGCATTCCGACGTTTGAGACGAGATCGTTCTATCTGCGCTTTGGAAAGCAACTCTGTTGTGTTTTTGAAAAGGGAACCGGGTGGGGGGGTTGTGTTTTGTAAGGCTTGTGTGCATTACTGTGAGAGATGGGAGCTACATAAAAAAAAAAAATCTGGTTTTACTAGCTAGCTGCTCTTGCTGCCCATCCCCCCGCCGAGCTAGTGATGTCAAAGGAAGTGAGGTCATAGCCCAGGGAAGGGTCTGCTCCTGAGAGTCTTTTTTTTTTTTCTCATGTCAGATTGTTAATTGTGTTTATGTATGCAATCATTTAACTGTAGCCTTTGAGGGACAAGCTCAAGAGGGATCAAGTGTAGCCTTCCCTCTGCACCTCCTCCTCCTCCTCAGCTCTGCCACCCAGGCCAGCGTTTTTGTCACACTCCAGTTCATCTGGGCACAAATTGGTCTCAGTTTGTAGACAGCCACAGCTCTGCAGCAAGCAGCATCCCCCTTCTTCATCTCCCCAGCCGTTCCCCTTGTTGCCCTTCTGCAGAGCGACACGCTTAGGCAAGAACCCTCACTCTGATTGTGTCTCTTAAATATGTATCTGTGTCAAGAAAGCAATACTGTCAAGATGACCCAGTCGTTTTTTTGTCAAGTGCACAGCAGCGATGCTTTAGGATTACAGCATCGAGCTCAGCTTCTTAATGTGTGTACAATATACAAAGTCATGTTTGAAAGGCCCGGCTTGTTCCCACTGTACTGTGGTGCAGCCCGGCATTAGATGAAGCCTCGGGCAATTATTGATTAGACTCTATTGAGCCACAGAGGCGACTGCCTTGAATGACACCTTTAGTGTTGGGGAACAATCAGACTCTCTTTCCTCTCATTGTGTGTATCTGTCATTCTGACATTGTTCGGACCAAATGTCTGGTATCCAGATTGTGCCTAGCTGACCTGTGTGAACGTGACTCAATTTAATGGTGCGAGTAACCACTGTTGTTGTGTGGGTTTCACTTCCTTTGTCACATTAGATTTTGTATAAGGGAAACTGAAACTACTACTAAACCAAAACACTTACAGAGGGGTGACAAATTAAAGGGAAAAATCAACATGAAGTGTTTTAGTATTGAGTCAGGCCTCCGTGAGCCTCCAGAAGAGTTTCAGTGCTCTTTGCCAAGGCTGTGGGACTATATTGGAGGGGTGAACACCATTCTTCAATAAAATATTCCCCCATTTATATATACACCCTTTTATCTAAACAGGTAATCTCACTGAGATCAAGATCTCTCTTACAAGAGAGACCTGAGTATTGTAAACAGAAAGCAAAACAAACATAACCAGAGGACACATTGCATCAGAGACAGTCACATACATCGTTAAATAGACTTGAAGGTCTTACGGAGATGGTGGTGGAGAGCATTGACTTACATGTTGGTCCAAAATCTTCCATAGGTATGTGAAACTGGGTTGAGATCTGGTGACTGCAAAGGCCCTAGCATTTTATTCCCGTCATTTTCAAACTCTCCAAACCATTCAGTGAGCCCTGGAGCATGGACACATCTGCATTTCACATGTCGCCACTCTTTTATTCAGGTTCGTCCTCTCAATTTGTCCCCCCGTCTGTATATATGTTCATGTGCACATGGATATGTACAGGACTGTGGTGTCACACCTATAGACTTGAAAACCAGCATCCAGGTCTGCACATTTAAGACAAATTAACTGTGTTGGCTATATTAGTCTGAGCTTCACACATACACAACAAAAATGACTAGGTGGCCCTTCAGCATGGTTAGGAATGCATTTGTATTCACATTAAGTTACCTGTTTTGACACATGAATGCCTGACCACCTCTGAATCAGGGTCCACATTGCAACATTTCCTCGTTAAGTTTTAGGTGCATTCATGCCTGCGTTTAAAGCCATGTTATCAGACATTTTGTGAGACAAAATGTGTCACCAAAGATGCATTTTTGTGCTGCAAGACACCATTTTAATATGAAGCACTGCGAAGCACGCCTTTAATTTTTATTATGAATGTGTGGCAATGATGCATAGCCTTTTAACTATTTCCAAAAATGATCCATGAACTGTAGTCTACTGTTTATTTCCTGGCTACATTCTCAGGTGTTGCTTACAATGCAACGAAAACTACTTTAATGAATGTGTCCAACCTAGTTGCTCATATGCCTTCAAACCTGCAACACACACGCTCCCCCAGTACATAGTTATAAATAGTAATCAGTCAATGTTTACATTGATCATAACATAGTCGATAAAGCAGATTGCCAAACCAGTCCTAACTCCAGACTAGCAGCTGTTCATTTGACCCATTTACAGAGAAAAAGTAGAGACTATGGTTCCAATGTGACTCCAGTTATTTATTATCTTCGTTTTGAACAAGGGGGGCATTAAAATAAATCTTTCTCTGTTCTCCACAAGACAAGATGAGGGTGGGTGTGTGTGTGTGTGTGTGTGTGTGTGTGTACACACATGCTTGTTCCTCTCCTAAGGCTTCTGTTAGTTACATTAATAGAGGTCACATTGTGGTTAATATCAATTTTGGGATCACAACACTGGTGCTTTTATCTGTTACACAACAACCCGCTGGGTATTTTAGGAGTGTACAGAAACTTTCTAACACAGGCAGACAGACTTATGTAATAGGAGCAACGCAAGTCTGACATGGTCAGGGGTTGCAAGGCATGGCAACACATTACAGTCCAGCTTCATGTCCCAGTGCAACCAGCAGCACAAATAACAAAAATCTGCTACAACACCAACCTTATGCCAGGGAGAGACCTGGGCCCCGTTTCAGAAAGCAGGATTAGTGAAAATTCTGAGTATGTTAAGCCTGAGATGAGGGAAACTCTGGGTTTTCTGTTTCAGAGAACAAGATCGAATAAACCCTAGATCAGTAACTCCGGCAACTGATGCTACGAACTTAACCTCCTTGGGAGGTTCATAAGTTGAAAAATAGTGAGTTTCTCTCTAACTCCTCCCCTCCTGCAGAGCCTGAGGCGGCTGTCTGACACAACGTTTCATTTCCTCATTCATGCTGTCAATATCAAAGCACATATTGGAATGCATTTACATCTTTAAAAACTTTAAAATACCGGTTGGATAGCCTATTAGTTTTTCATCCAAACATGATCTTCAACATGACCGCTTTATGATCAATTTGTCATCGATGTATGGACATAGAGTTATCTCTGCACATTGTGGATTTATCCTTAGCACAGAATAAAATCTATGTCTGTCTTCTATAACACTGTGACTCTGTGGCCATTTGCACTGAAAACACTTACTGTGAGCTACATTACTGCAGTACTCACTGTTTAATATGTAACCTATAAAACTGATCAATGAACAGTAATCTTTCCTATTGTTGTCGCACTGATTGGAACATTCCTTTCGTAGTTATCATGTTCGAGATAATGTGACTATTTCTGAGCGAGGATGACTGTGGTGCAGCTGAAACAAATGGGCCAAAATGTAGCAAGTTTAAAAGTGAGTTTTGATTATTACCTGCTGATAGTCTGGATGTGTTTTGACAGCATTAATAAAATATGAAATAAGCAAGATTTTATTAATGTATAACAGACGTCTAAAACATTACAGTCAGTCTGAACCCATAGACACATTTTCCACTGCAAAAAATGGGTTAACTTACTGGGTGTGACTGTGACGTTATAATCACAGGTTCATGAGTAAACTGTCTTATATTTGATCAATACCTATTTTCATAATCAGGTAGGTGACTGCTGCATTTTGTCCCATCGGGTTACATCTTAATAAATATAGATTTCCAATTTAAAATTTTATGTAAAGGGCTGTAGGAGAATTCTAGCCATTTATCATTTATTAAGGAAATTCCAGTCTGGTAAATGATGAATGAGCAACGCTAAGTACTAATGTTAATGTATTGATCATTCCATCAGTCCGGCGTTTTAGAGCCTATCATGGTTGGCGTTGGCACGCATTCATATTTCTAGCTCCACTCGATTAAATTGGAGGCTCTGAATTTATTTACCCGTTGCCATGGTGAATCGTAATATTGGAGCTCCGTTGATGATGGCTTTTTTTCATCCCCACACACACACTTCCGTCAGGTTCAACATACTCAGATTTGATTGAACTAACTCCTATCTGTTCTGGCACTGAAAACTCACATCTCAAGCTCAATCAACTCCGAGCTCAGGGATAAGCTCAGATTTTGTTAAGCCTGCTTTCTGAAACAGGGCCCTGGTTCACTAGTGTTGAAAATATTAGTAAACACTAATATTAAATGGCCTTGCTGTTGCCCAGTTTTGACTGGTGTACCTCAGTTGACCTAACAGGACTCTTTCTAAAACGTCCTATGACCACCTTGGAGACAATTCTTAGTTGTTTCTGACTGCATGATGATGATGAGTGTCTTGGATGAACCCTCTCTCTTATGTGTTTTTAATCAGGAGTACTGGCTCTCACAGTGTTTTCCTCTTGAGACAGTGACAGCGTTTTGGCCATCAAATCTGTATGGAAGCAGCTGATAATGGCAGCTAACACACTTACCCTCTCTCCTCTGGAATTCCCAACCTCTCACCGTCATCAAGATAAATTGACCGACTTGAAACTGACACTGCAGAAGTGTGTGTGCGTGAGCCAAGTCTCCATTATGTCTGAATAGGATATCTCTCTTCTTACCTAGATCTGCCTATTTGCAAGAATGTCAAGCACTTGTACGTTTGTGTGCGCGCTTCTCTTTCCTGTGGTGCGGCCTTTGTCACTCTTCGTGTACATTCGTTGATAATAGGGCCTGAGCGAATAGGTTTAGCTGCCTATTATTTCTCTCTATCAAGTTTTTCCCGCAATGTTTTCCTTTATAAAACACCTGCGTGACTGAATTGGCAGAATCTGATGACGTTAATTTGCTCATTACTCATAGTCTTATTAAAAACAAGATGGAAGACGGCAACATAACAGGGAACAAATTAATTCATTATATATATATATATATATAATGAGAGAGCATTGCAAAAATGGTGTGTGTGTGTGTGTGTGTGTGTGTGTGTGTGTGTGTATATATGTGTATATATACACACACACCATTTTTGCAATGCTCTGTTTGCCTTCATCAATTATTTATTATAATTTTCCTTACTTGAACCCTGTGCTATATTTATAAATCACAATTTGTCTCCCAGCCTAATTATCCAGTAATAATTATCCTGTGTTTGAAATTGTTCTGCCCACAGGTAACTGTACAGTCATGGTAGTAATTCTGGAGTATAGGAAACACAGCTTTAGCAGCACTGGTATGATTTGTTAAGGCTTGGCACCATAGACGATGGATTTGGATATGAATTTGCTCACTGCCATCCCTTGCGTTCCCTCTTTTTCCCCTTTTTTATCTGTAACTGTAGATATCCTTGTACAACTAGAGTATAGGTGAATGTCAGAGAATACCTCTTCATACAAGGCCATTCTGGTTGCAGAAACACAGTAAAATGTTACTGAAAAGCTGCTGCACTGTAAGTGTCGGGTGCACAGGCAGTGATTGCAGTAATTCATCTACTATCAGATACAGAACAGAGGTTACCAGTGGAGACACAATTGAAAGCATAAATACAAGTCTAGCAAACTAACCACAACTTCTGGTTTGTTGGTGCGTTGTAAATCACTAGCAAACCAAAATGAGAGCATCTTGATCTAACAGCCTTCTTATCTATCTCGCATGCAGCTGTTTCTGTCTGTTAAATTAACCCACAGCTGGCATTAGTGAAGGAATATGTTGACATTGTGAACGCGCTTGTTTTTATTACAGCAGGAGAAGAAAGAGAGAACAATCTTTTTAAAAAGAGGTTAATGTGAAATGTAATTTTAACCATAAATCATAATGCCATTTGCATCTTACTATGCAGACACACAACTTTATTTTGAGAAGTATGAGTAGTTACATTCTTGTAGAGGTAGATCAGGGGATTTGTACCACTCTCACGTCTGTCCAGTAAATGTAAGCTACAGTTAGCAGCTGCTTAGCTCAGCATAGCTTAGCGTACAGACTGGAAATAGGAGGAAATGGTTAGCATGTGCTATCCTGTAACGAGACAATGAACAGCAAGGTATCATGTGTTGATGAGTTGTTACCTTTTGGACAGAGCCAAGGTTGCCATTTCCTTTTTTTCCCAGTCTTTATGCTAAGCTAAGCTAACTGGCGACTGTTTGTAGCTTCGTATTTATAGGTCGGATGAGTGAGTGGTGGTAATCTCTTCTAACACTGGGCAAACACTTTTATAGCTTCATTTAAAATAAAATCAGATTTTAGTTGCTTTATATGATGCTATAACAGTGTTTGCCCAGAGTTAGAGGAGAAAATTAACACCACTCGCCATGTGTATTTTAGATGTTCAGATCTTGATTTCACTTTTTAAGTAATAACTGTGCCATGATAGTTATTTGGGTAGCTGAGGAACATGTGTAGATTGTCCCCAAATGTGACCCAAACATGATGAAACCAAACATCACAAAAGACAAACAAGCTAGATCAAAGTGGTGTCACATAGCGACATAATTATGGTGACAATGTGTGTTGTTACTGCACCACATGAGCAGGTAGGCATTTAGAGTTACCGAAGTGGAAGTTTCCTCTTTGTGTTGTCATGTGTGAAGTGTTGACTGTGTCGGAGGTTGTTTGTTTACAAGCCTGTGCTCTTGAGTGCTCGGGTGGACATGAAGAAAAATAGGAAGTCTTCAAACCACCATGGATAAATACATTGACAGACTTAAATAGCTAGGTTTCCTTTCTAGAAAAGTTTTTTTCCTCAGTGTGCCGCAAATGGCGAGACATTGCCTGTACATCTAGCTCCCAAATCCTTCATCCTCCTTTCCTCCTTCATCCTGTCTTTTCTCCTCCACTCTGCTCTGTCCCCCTGTATCCTCCCCCTGGGTTCTAACCATCTCAGCCTTTCTCTTAATGCACTTTAGTCTTTATGACTCATTTGCCAGTCTTCATCACTCTCTCACTGCCTTGCATTTCTTTTTCTGTGACATTGCTATTTTAACTGTCATCCTTGACAGTTAAACCGCCCCCCTCCTTTCTCTTGTGACCCTTCACTCCATTCTCCTATACTCTCAAGCGCCTTATTTCATCACCGTTGTGTCGCCTGGTTAAGCATTCAACTCTCTTTCGGTCGTCCCTGGACTCTTTTCTTCCCTCCACCGCTCATTTTCTTCCCTCTTTGTGTCCCCAGATGTGGCCCCTGCAGAGCAGGAGAAGCTCTTCATCCAGAAGCTAAGACAGTGCTGCGTTCTCTTCGACTTCCTGTCCGACCCGCTGAGCGACCTAAAATGGAAGGAAGTGAAGCGGGCGGCGCTGAGCGAAATGGTGGAGTACATCACCCACAACAGGAATGTCATCACAGAGCCCATCTACCCGGAGGTGGTGCACATGGTCAGTAGAGCCGGAGGGGTTACGTTTGTGGTTAAAGCTGAAGATGGAGTAACTTGGGCCGAGAATATGATGAGAATGATTTTGCTTGGAGCAGAAGATCTGGTTTTCTCTCTTCTTACTGCCTTTCAAATAATTTTTCAAGAATAAAGTGGGTTTAAGCCATAGAGGAGAGGACAGACGTATAAGATGTATTTCCTTTCCATCATCTCATTTATTTCTTGCAAAAGTTGTAATGAGCAACAAGATTTTGTGTATACAAATGTTAGACTTAAGCCATGCTGGTGACATGGCTCTTTTTAATCTATAGCCAACGTCAGGTAAAAAATTGTCCAATTTATGTCTAATTTCTAACAACTAATGCCCATCAGCCACAGCTGTATGTTGTTTAGTGCTAATTAACAAATGCTAGCATGCTAACATGCTGAACTATGACATGAACAAGGTATAATATGTTAAACATCAGCATATTGGCATAGTCATAAGTGAACATGCATGCTGATGCTAGCATTTAGCTCACAGCACCACCGCATCTAATGTGGCATTCAGACCAAACGTGATACTTTCCTCGCGTGAGTACATTTGCTGCAAGTCTTCACACAACGCGAGAAGGCGATTTTAACGTGAATAAACACAACTCGCCATTACTACAGCTGTATGAACCCAAAGTAAACTTTTTGCTGTGATTAAACAGGAATAAACGGATTAAACTGATGCATGAACATATGAATTCATGCTTTGTCAGGTCTGTCAGCAAGACATCAGGACAACAACTTTATTCTAAAATGTTTTTTTTCTGAATGGAGTTTGGATCGATCAGGGCTATGCTAACTTGGTCACAGTAAAGTACAATGGTAGCTGGAATAAAGTTACACATGTTTTCTGAACTCACCAGGTTGTTCAACCTCCTCGCTTTCTTTTCTCCAAGTAATGTCCAGTTTTGTATGGTTTTTAAATAAATATGAAGTCGTAGTCCGACAGAGCTAACAACGCTAACAACACTGGAACCAGATGTGCACGGAAGCTAGCTGCTGAGAAGCTCCAGTGAAGATAAATCAATGTTGAAATCCCAAAAACTAAAACGAGTAAACGGCGTAGTTGTTAGAGCATAATCCAGTCTGACTGTTTATTTGTCCAAAGGTTGCAGCGCTGCTCCCTGTTCCTCTCCCCCAAGTTTAGCAGCTCTCAGCCGGCCAGCAGATTTTCAATCTCCCGCTCTGCCTGTCCCTCACCACACATCGCTCTGAACCCGTTGGTGACGTACGGACAATCTCAACACTGATGGGCTATCGCGACTCAGCGTCATGCGACATTCTCGCTTGAGTTGAAAATATTCAACTCACGCAAATTCCTTTGCGTTGCCTTCGCGTCGCCGGCCCCTTCGCACCACCCGACAGTAAATCGAGGCTCTACACGTCATTGCGTTGACTTTGTATGTAAACTCACCGCCCCAAACGCTCGCTTCGCATTTGGTCTGAAAGCACCATTAGTACACTCACAGATAGTTAAGTAATAAACAAATGATGAGGCAGCTGCCTTTAAGTTTGCATATCCCAGGAAAGTATTACCACTGGTACAAGGGATGTGATGACTGTTTTATTTTCAGCTGAAGTAATAGTGATTTATTTCAAAATAAGAGCCAAATTTGTCTTACAACTAAACTTCAAAACTGATGACCGCTGATGATGATGCTGCTTACCATCTCATCTCAATCTTTATTGTGCAGAGATATAGAAACGGAGCTATAAACATGATGGAAATGCTGCAGTCTAGTGAGATACTCTTTCTTGGACACTAACACTAAACTGCTTTCTTTTCATCATCAAAGCCAACAGCAGATTTGCTATAATCACCGTTATGACATTTCCATTTACGGTTTCAATTGTGGAGTTCATGCGTAGTCATGCTCACAGTCTGTTCTGGGTTGAAGCGCACAGCACAGCCCAGACAGCCTATCTACCTTGTAGCCTGTCTTTTCGAACAAGGCTCTCAGTGTTTTAGTAGGCCACCTGCACTGTCCCATGATCTGCCTGGCAGGGAACAGGAGCCCACAGGGGAGTCAGTTGACACTAGGAGAGACCAGAAACACAACACACTTGGATTATTGTGGGCCAAACCCCTGGAGGCCAGGTCCAAGGACAAAGTTAACATTAACCTAAAAAGAAAAACATATTATCAAATACCTAAGATGGGACATTTCATAGACAAACGCAGCTTAAGTTAAATGGGTTGTAGACTCGAGCATCAAGACAGTTTTGTTTTGTTGTATCAGTAACAAGAATTGAAAGCAGATTGGAAAATAAATCATGAAACTTAATACTAACACATGTTCCTAATATTTTAACACAAGGGCTAGGAACTGATTAAATGAGCTGTACTCCTCTATATGATAACAGCATTTATAATCCACCTTTAAGCAAACTTAATGTGCTTCTGACTGTGCAGAGATGCGTCCCAAAAGACGCTGTGCTGTGCTTTTATTTTTTAAATGTTGCATTGTTCAAGTAAAGTAGAGTGAAATCTAACAGTGTATGAAAAAGAAAAATCAGTTGTGTTCTCCAAATTCAAGAAGCAGTTCATGTGGTTTCACTGGTGGTTTTACCATATGTCATGACGGTAAACATTTATTCAAGAGTGGGAAACGTCTGACAGGAAGTTCTAGCTGCAGCTTTTTTTTTTTTTTTTTTTTAAAACTTGAATGAAAATCTTTTGTAACCTATACTGGGGCCAGCTTTGGGTTATTAAAACAACAAAAGGAAGTTGACTTAAATAGCGTACTGTCCAGTGGAATAAACAGTCACAGTCTCATTTCTCTTCCAGTTTGCGGTGAATATGTTCAGAACATTGCCTCCTTCGTCAAACCCTACTGGCGCCGAGTTTGATCCAGAGGAAGACGAGCCAACACTTGAAGCTGCATGGCCACACCTCCAGGTTGACATTTAAATCATTAAATCACCTGCAAAACAGTGAAAGGTTTATAACTGATTATTCTCAACATAGAGGAGCCTGAAGCATGCAGTTCCCTAGTGATTCCTTTTAAGTACATGTGTAAATAAAAAAAGATTTGGCAGCCAACAATTCTCGCATTGATGGCCATGAAGAACAAAAAGAGGAATTTAGAGCTAAAGTCTTCAAAACTGTATCACATTTTAAAGTGTGCAGTTGGTGTTGGAGCATTTGTGAACTACTTCAACATTGCACAGCTCCCCATTTAGCTTGAATTCCTTCCAAGCATTCATTCCTGTTTGTCCCCCCCCCCCCCCTTTCTGTTGCAGCTTGTCTATGAATTTTTCCTTAGATTTTTAGAATCACCCGACTTTCAGCCTAACATAGCGAAGAAATACATCGACCAGAAATTTGTTATGCAGGTAGGAAAATTATCTTGTCAGCCTCTCAGACTGTATAATAGGACAAACTAAATTACAAGACAGAATCTGCGCTGCGACTGTCATTATGGTAACAACTCCCTTGCATTGTAGCTCCTAGAACTTTTTGACAGCGAGGATCCACGAGAGAGAGACTTCCTCAAAACTACCCTTCACAGGATCTACGGAAAGTTCCTGGGGCTGAGAGCGTACATCAGAAAACAGATCAATAACATTTTCTATAGGTCAGTGCCGGTCTCCCAGTGCTCTGCTCATTTTTAAACATGCATACTGAGAGAAATGGTCAGCACTTGAATCTTCTTTTTCATTTTTAGTTAATATAAAGTCTGCGTGTTGCCACTGAATGAAGTCTGTTTGTCCTTACAGGTTTATCTATGAGACAGAGCACCACAACGGTATAGCTGAACTACTGGAAATACTTGGAAGGTATGGCCCGTACAGTTAAAAGCTTTGGTGAATGCAGATGTAATGTCCTTATGGCTTTTATACAATTTTTACATGACCGTCAGTGTTTTTCTGTTTAATTCCAAAATCATGCCAGACTACTTTTCAGGTGTTCTGATTGTACTTTTGTTTATTTTGTAGCATAATCAATGGATTTGCCTTACCACTAAAAGAAGAGCACAAGATTTTCCTGTTAAAGGTTTTATTGCCTCTGCACAAAGTCAAATCACTCAGTGTCTACCATCCACAGGTAAGTTTGTTGAACACACACCTTAATTTCTTCTACTACTACTACTTCGAGCAGCACATCATTCTGCAGGTTTAGTCAACAACTGGTGTTCTAGTGCCAGTGTGTCCCTCGGGCGTCACATGTTCGCTGCCATGTTACCTTTTTGTGTGTGTGTGTGTGTGTGTGTGTGTGTGTGTGTGTGTGTGTGTGTGTGTAAATTCAAATACTTTTGACAGTTTAATGATTGTGTTTTGCAGCTGGCCTACTGCGTGGTGCAGTTTTTAGAAAAGGACAGCACTCTAACTGAGCCGGTATGTCAAAAATGCCTTATTTCTTCACATAATGGTGCTTGCTTAAATTCCTTATTTGATGCTCAAACTGATTTTTAAAAATGTGAATGTGTATTTTGGTTCGTTTTGCAAGATTATAAATTGCTAAATAATGTTTTTGGGCCAGTTGACATCTGTTAAGCCCCAAAGCTGCTATCCCTTTATCTTCCCTGATCAACATTATCATTATCTTTCTTCATCATCCCAACAGGTGGTAATGGCTCTACTAAAGTACTGGCCAAAGACTCACAGTCCCAAGGAGGTGATGTTCCTCAATGAGTTGGAGGAGATCCTGGACGTCATCGAGCCCTCTGAGTTCGTTAAAGTGCAGGAGCCTCTCTTCAGACAGCTGGCCAAGTGTGTGTCCAGCCCGCACTTCCAGGTACCCGAGTACCCGATGGGTGATCACAACTGTACCTTCACAACTCATTATTCAGGTGGAGTGGTGGTGTGTGTCGGTATGTGCCTGACTGAGGTGGTGTTTATGTTTTCTGTAGGTGGCGGAGAGAGCTCTCTACTACTGGAACAACGAATACATCATGAGTCTGATCAGCGACAACGCAGCAAAGATTCTGCCGATTATGTTCCCCGCTCTATACCGCAACTCTAAGACCCATTGGAACAAGTAAGATGCTCAAATGTAGCCCCCTGCCCCCACGAGCTCTGCTAATAAAAAGCTCTGTACTTCACACAGCAAGTAACACCAGTCTGACACAATAGCTCACATAGTGATATCTCTCAAAAGTGTGTGTGTGTGGGTTTTTCAGTGTGGTCACAGAATGTACTCTCCTGCACATCAGTTACACATTACATAAAGATTCTGTAAACAGCTGTTTGTCCATACCTATAATTCATTTTTTATTGCAGATCACTTTTTTTCTTTTTTTTTTTTTACATGATCTGTCTGTTTCTATCTATATCTATTATAGAATTTCAAGAGTCAATGAATCGATCAGCTGATGAACAAAAGTCATTTTTCAAGCAAACATGCCAACAGAGTCCTACTTTTATTTTAATTTTATTAAACCAGGAAAAGCCCATAAAGATACAAAATATTTTTCAAGAGAGACCTGGCCAAAAACAGCATTTAAAGTTACATGGACACACATGACAATACTTAAAAATCCAGCCTATGGGAAACATCTACACTCCTCCTTAAGGACATCTGCAACTAGTGACTCCATAAGTTCCAGCACTTACTTATTACTCATTGTAAATTAATTGTTTTGGAAGACATTTTTAGAGTGCTGCTATTTTTAAAGATAAAATAAAATGCTTAAAAGTGTCAGAGCCAACGGTCTATAGCTTAATTTTTTGTAATTATTTTATTTAGTAATTTTAAGTACGATAGCTATTTGCCAAGTGTCAAGTATAATTTTTTTAAAACTTTGTCCTCATGTGTGATATTAATTTAGGTTTGTTGCTGGGGACAAAGGGACCTTTACAGTAATGCTGCTTGTGTTTGTAAAGATTTGACTCTTGAAGTGTGTGTGTGTGTGTGTGTGTGTGTGTTCGTTCAAAGGACCATCCACGGCCTCATCTACAATGCTCTGAAGCTTTTCATGGAGATGAATCAGAAGCTCTTCGATGATTGCACACAGCAGTTCAGGGCTGAGAAAAACAAGTAGGCACCACAGACTCCTGCTTTTTTTAAATGATGTTTGAGTGCCAAATAATTACAATCAGCCGTAACACTGCACCTTAAAGTAGTGTTTTGTGGAACCGATTACTGACATTGGGGTTTGCCGCTTTCTTTGACAGAGAGAAGGCAAAGTCAAAAGAACGCGAAGAGGCTTGGATCAAAATCGAGAACCTTGCGAAGTCAAATCCACAGGTGAGCAGTGTGTACAACCATTTAACAACACCTGTTTTTCCATTTCTTCTAAAGTGTGCGTGTGTGTGTGTGTGTGTGTGTGTGTATGGAACAAATATATATTAAGTAAGTGTGTTGTGTTTTCTGTTAGCCAGTTTTGTTGAGTTGTAGTTCCCTTTCCATCTTATCCCTCATTCAAACTCCGACTTGGTGGTTAATGTTCTCCAAATTACACTGCTGGTAAAGATGGAAAGGTCTTTGTGAGAGTGGCCTTGCTCTAAGAATGTGCTTAGTTGTGGTGAGTGTTTTGAATCAGACATCTCTAAAAGTCTCTCTGAAGTATGTGATTAATTTAAAGAGTAACTCTATACAGGCTGAAACGCCTGCTTTTAAAATTCCTAACCCCCTCCCAAAAACTGACTTTAGCATTGCACTATAAGACAGTATGACTTCAGTGTTGGGCATCTTGAGAAATATGCTTATTGACTTTCTTGCAGAGAGTTGGATGATTGATAGCACTCATGTCTTTAAGGTAAATTTGAAGCTATAGCCAGCTATTGGTTAGCTTAGTACAAAGACTGGAAACTGGGGGGAAACGGCCAGCCTGGCTCTGTCCAAAGGTCACAAAATCCTTTTTAAATCTTAATTCTTGGCAGGGACTTCCTGAAGTCTCGTTGTCACCGTGAGGTTTTCCGGCAACCAGTGGAGTCAACAGGAATTCCCTGCACCTAGCCAAGAAATCGTCCGACTCTCCCCACTGTAAAACAGCAGTTGTTTTTTGTACAGATTAAATAAAGGAGATATAATATTCTAAGCAGAGAGCTTTAGAGGTGCTGGTGGACAGATTTGCCTTTGTTGGACAGAGCCTTGCTAGCTGTTTCCTCCTGTTTCCAGTCTAAGTTAACCGCCTACTTGACCCAGCCATGTACAGTGTTGACAGTACGTACATGAGAACGGTGTCTATATTCTCTACTCTCTGCAAGAAAGTAAAGTCAGACTATTTTTTTAAATGTGAAACAAAAATAAAACTTTCAATCCAAAAATATCAACGCTACAACGTTAATCTGCTGTAAAAGATTTATTTTGGAGTTTTTTGTTTTTTTTCAATCATTTTGATTCCCTCAACTAAGTCATAATTAAACTGATAATTGCAATAGAACAGAGTTGCTTCTTTTAATCAGTTCAGAGCCTCTTGAATCATTCTTCTTTGCATGCGACTGAAAGTCTTTTCTCCATCCTTTTGTGTGTTTTTTTGTTTTTGTTTCCCTTTTGTTTTCAACATAGTTCTCTATGTATGTTGATTCCTCTGACCTCAATAGTCCTGTAGCAATGGAGACGGATATCCCTTTGATAGAAGATGTTCAGAGGTTAAAAAAGACAGTTGAGGAGGGCGCGACTCAGGTAAACCTGACTTTCTCTCTGTCTATTAATCTTACAGTCACTCTATATATGAATAGATTTGTGTGTTATCAAACATGCAAAGTTTTCTAATTGAAGCTACTTGCACTACAGGTGCTGGTCATAATTAGAATATCATCAAAAAGTTGATTTTATTTCAGTAATTCCATTCAAAAAGTGAAACTTGTATAATGTATACATTCATTCCACACTGACTGATATATTTCAAGTGTTCACTCCTTTTAATTTTGATGATTATAACTGACAACTAATGAAACTCCAAAATCAGTATCTCAGAAAATTAGAATACTGTGAAAAGGTTCAATATTGAAGACAGCTGGTGCCACACTCTAATCAGCTAATTAACTCAAAACACCTGCAAAGGCCTTTAAATGGTCTCTCAGTCTAGTTCTGTAGGCTACACAATCATGGGGAAGACTGCTGACTTGACAGCTGTCCAAAAGACGACCATTGGCACCTTGCACAAGGAGGGCAAGACACAAAAGGTCACTGCTAAAGAGGCTGGCTGTTCAGAGCACTGTGTCCAAGCACATTAATAGAGAGGCGAAGGGAAGGAAAAGATGTGGTAGAAAAAAGTGCACAAGCAATAGAGATAACCGCACCCTGGAGAGGATTGTGAAACAAAACCCATTCAAAAATGTGGGGGGGATTCACAAAGAGTGGACTGCAGCTGGAGTCAGTGCTTCAAGAATCACCACGCACAGACGTATGCAAGACATGGGTTTCAGCTGTCGCATTCCTTCTATCAGGCCACTCTTGAACAAGACACAGCGTCAGAAGCGTCTCGCCTACGCTAAAGACAAAAAGGATCGGACTGCTGCTGAGTGGTCCAAAGTTATGTTCTCTAATGAAAGTAAAGTTTCCACAGTCAGTGATGGCCATCACTCAGCCATGTCATCTGCTGGTGTTGGTCCACTGTGTTTTCTGATGTCCAAGGTCAACGCAGCCGTCTACCAGGAAGTTTTAGAGCGTTAATGCTTCCTGCTGCTGACCAACTTTATGGAGATGCAGATTTCATTTTCCAACAGGACTTGGCACCTGCACACAGTGACAAAGCTACCAGTACCTGGTTTAAGGACCATGGTATCTCTGTTCTTAATTGGCCAGCAAACTCCGCCTGACCTTAACACTATAGAAAATCTGAGGGGTATTGTGAAGAGGAAGATGCGATACGCCAGACCCAACAATATAGAAGAGCTATCAGAGCAACCTGGGCTCTCATAACACCTGAGCAGTGCCACAGACTGATCGACTCCATGCGACGCCGCATTGCTGCAGTAATTCAGGCAAAAGGAGCCTCAACTAAGTATTGAGTGCTGTACATGCTCATACTTTTCATGTTCATACTTTTCAGTTGGCCAACATTTCTAAAAATCCTTTTTTTGTATTGGTCTTAAGTAATATTCTAATTTTTGGAGATACTGAATTTGGGATTTTCATTAGTTGTCAGTTTTAATCATCACAATTAAATGAAATAAACATTTGAAATATATCAGTCTGTGTGTAATGAATGATTATAATATCCAAGTTTCACTTTTTGAATGGAATTACTGAAATAAATCAACTTTTTGATGATACTCTAATTATATGACCAGCACTTGTAATGTAATTATAATTGTATACTTTGTGTAAATGATAAACTGGTTGTTGTTGTTGTTGTGTGTTTTTGGGTTTTTAAAAAAAATCAACCTACTAATAAAATAAAAACATACAAAACAAATCTGGCCGTGGACTAAACACTGGAATCAAGAGCTTTCATTTTTGTCTGCCTGTTTCTCCTTGCATGTTGTCTAAAGTATAGCATAGAGCCCCAAAGCATTCAAGATTAAATAAATAATGTAGTGTGAAATCAGTATGACCGAACCAATAATGTAATGTAGTAATAATGTGATAAATTAATAAATCTCAACCTCATATTGTGAAATGTCCTTTCATCATTTTTATTATGACTGGTGACTCCACCACTATCATGAAAAATGTCATTATGATGTAAAAAATTATGGTATGTGGAAAGAAATAAAATGTAACGATATAAAATGCACTTATGAAATAAAATCTTCTTAAATGACTTTACTCCAATAAAACACTGTTGAATAAGAATTCATAATCAGTTGAGTTGTAATCATTTCTTAGATCTCTTAAAGTAGTTGTTTATCTGACAATGTGTTTTTATATATTTAATATTGAACACTTTGGGGCTCCATAAATGTAGTGCAGGACTTGATGCTGTGTATTTAATTTAAAGTTGTTATAATATTTTTGCCTAGGTACGGCTGAATGTCATACCTGTAATGCCATATTTTAATTTGGTGTTGCTTTTCCTCTGTAAATTAGATTTTGATGTAACTGAATTGTGCTTCATCTCATGAAGATGTGATCAGAACAATTGACAAGAGACGATGACGTGTTTCTAATTAAGCCTCACTTTTCTGGTCTCCTCTCAGTTGCAGCATGAACAGCGGAAAGAACGGCCTATGGTGCGACGCAAGTCTGAGTTGCCTCAGGATATCTACACCACAAAAGCCTTGGAGTCCCACCGCAGAGCTGAAGACATGTTGACCACCCACGATGGACTCTAAGTCCCCCCCATCTGCTGGCTCTTGGTTCAACTGCCCCTTCTACCCTCGACAGCCATGGACATCCTCTTCGTCCAGGTGCCAGAAAAACACTGGCAACCCACGTTGGGCGCTCCATCCCTCCTCCCACCATCAATTTACCCAGAATCCTTAGTTCTCCTTCATTCCTGCTACCCCAGTGCAGAAGCCCTGTATCCACCTCTCTCAGATTTCTGCTTTCTCAGGTTTTTTTCTTTATTTGGAGAGGAGCGGGAGTGTGTGTGTCTTTTAGCCCTCGCCACATTCATTGTGTTCTCCAGTTATTTCTCCATCAGTTCCTCTTACCTTCCTTTCTCCTTCACCTCCCACCCCCCTTCCGTGCGCTCACTGTAAATGTGGAACCTGGGACGGCACAACGCTGGTTCCTTCATTCCTTCTCGTAAACATGTTCACAGTGGATTGGACATGGAAACATAGGAACTGACTGACTCACTGTCAAAGGATCGTCTCTCGGTCTCTGCTCTTTGGTTTTCGTTTCTGTCAAAGGGAACAAAAAACAGAACCTGTTGGTCGGATGAAAGACAAGACTTTCCTGTCATCTGTTGTATGGTTTCTTTATTTTGTGCTCAATCTAACGGACATCTTGTCAGTGCCAAGACCGTTGTGTTCTTTGTTTGTTTCATGTTTTCATCTGTGACTTTAACAGGGACACTTGCCTTTTATTCACTGGTGTTTAAGAGTTTTTGGTTATTTTGTTTTGTTTAGTACACCAGACCAAACTGAGGCCTGTCCTTAGCCTTGCAATGGCGAGGAAAGTAGAAGTTGTCCTGTGGACATCTGATACTTTCCATTTTATTGTTTTGTGCCATATACCACTCTTTTATATGCTTGCTTCCTTATGTTCATTGGCAATATTTGAAAACCAGACCATAGTGATGCCTAGGCAGTTCAAACAATGGTACTAACTGTTTGTAAGTATAGTAGATGAAGATGAACCTGAATGAAAGGGGTGTGTGTGTGTGTGTGTGTGTGTGTGTGTGTGTGTCTTTGTAAAAAAAGAAATAATCCGATTTAGTTTTTATTGAATGGAGGAGGAGGCACAGATCTGTACTGTCACGCTGTGTCTCAGCACCTAAAAATGAACTGAAAGTTGTCAGCAGCTGTTACTACGTTAAGATTTTTGCTCATTATGTTCCTTTTTTTAAAGAGCATGAAGGTGTATTGGTACTGTATACTATAAAGATATTGTAATGTCCTCTAATTAAAAATAGAAATTATTTTATTATCAAACATAGGAGCCGGTGATCTCAGTAGCTATTAACATACTGACATTAAGTGATTAATACAAAAATCTTGAGAGCTACCAGGAAAAATGTAACTGTTTGGCCTGTTTGTGTTGTTACCATTCCTAATTTCAGGTGTTAGAGTGTCTGTCTGTTTGTCTGTCTCTATCTCAGTCAGTACCATTGTTTAAACTAAGGAGGTCTGCTACAGTTCTTCATATTTGATGTTGTATTTCTTTGTCTTTTCTCTGGAGGATAGTGGCGTAGATGTCAGGTTTTGGATTTATTTTTCTTCTGGCCATTCAGGATGCCCAACGCTGAAACACACTGGTATCAATAATGGCCACAAAAATGCCAGATGCTGAAAATAAACTGACATCGTGACATGGCTTGTTAACTGTATTAATACTGTATTTGCTTGAATGCAAAAATCTGTAAATTAAAACTACCATGTTAAACATGTACCGTTTACCCTGGAGGAATGCCATTCACCAAACTGATTAATTTCTGTTGTCGAGGTCATTGCATTTATGAAAGTTCTGCTTGCTGGGAGAGATGTTTTATGGACTTTGAGTTTGAGTAAAGAAATATTTGAGGTTTATTTTAGTGCTGAAAAACAAGTCGTCCGCGATAAGAGATGATTTAAAAATGATTTGGTGGCTTGTTCTCTTTCTCTGCAGGATCTTTGCAGATCTTTTAATTTTAACATATTTCCAAAACATGATAACTTAAAAGTGTCCTTTTGTATGTGATCTGTACTATATGACTCATTTAATATTGTATATATGATTTACCTTGTTTCATGTAGTGTTATATATCTAGATTAATTTTGTACAAATTGTCCCTCTGTACAGAATAAAACCAATAGCAAGTGAAAGAAGTCAATCTGGCACATACAGTCTTATTTCTCCAGTTTTGGATGTACTTTCAGCGACGCAACGATTAAGAAAAATGTTCTTATTTTTTATTATCTGCAAAGTTTCCTCCCTCCTCCATATAACTGACAAATGTTCATGCCCGTTGTGTGCTCCTATCACTGTCTTTAGTGGTGTACAACTATATAGAATGAATAAAAAGATTATTTGAATATATATTTTCAACCATGCATCCATTTTGGCTTTACTTTACTGGAAGGGAATTTTGAAACATACCTCTAAACTACAGTATGTAAACCACAGACCATTTGCTGTAATGAGGATAATAAGGCTAGTATTACACACAAACTACCAAAAGCAAGTAACATTCGGGTTATATTTGTCTTCATAACTTGTTTTTATGGAATGAAAATTTATGTATCTAGCCACTTTGGCAGTGTGCTGTTTTAAACACAAGGGGGAGCCAGATATCTATAAAAGTGCCATGAAACTGACATGACATGTTGCGACAGCAACCTAAAGTTTACTGTGAAATTCTTTTAAGTGGTCCAATACAATGTGGCTTTTCTGCGGTTTAGGACAGATATTTGCCATTAGTGTTCACCAGTGAACAATTATTTCCCAGTACTAGAAACAAAACTCCAAATATGTCAGCAAGTGTTATCTGGAACTGCTACACAATGACAAAGAGAGGTTCATAACCAAATGGAAACCTTTGGCCCACTATTTCAACTCATTCATCTTCTGTTTGGGCAATATAAAAGTATCGACCACTGCAAAACACATTCTGGGACATATTTCGTTCTTGAGTATGAATTTATATACTATTCAACAATTTAACACATTGACATTCAGCTGTGTTGTTTAATTAGTTGTTAGCTATCATTGCCATCACAATATATTTTTTAGGTTTCACTCGTTTTTTTTTGTTAATACAAAAAAATTACTTTGAAGTAGAACTGAAATTAAATGACAGAAAAGTGTTGAAAAACATTCTCTGATTTCAGCTTCATGAATATGACAATTTGCCACTTTACTTTGTCATATATGATAGTAAACGGAATATCTTCAGGTTTTGGTGGTCGAATAAAACAAGATGTTTGAAAGTGCTACCTCGGGGTTTGGGCAATTATAATTTATATTTCATATACAAAACCATTAATCCGTCAATCAAGAAAATAACCAGCAGCTGAATCATAGTTGCAGCCCTACATTGAATTCAAGCATATTCCAGGCAAAGGCCTTAAATCCATCATGTATTTAAATCACCAATGAAAGTAAACTCCTGCATTTATACTGTAAACATGTGCAGACATGAGGAGAGAACGGTTAAGTTTCATTAAACAATTTACTGGCGTTCAAAATAATTAATATAGACACGGTATCATTCTTTTGCATTGAGCAGATTACGTTGTGGTATGTAGTGATGTAAGTGCGCAAATCTCCTTTATAGGAAGAGATGAAGGTTGTTCTTAGAAGTGGAGAAAAGAAGGGTCAACCCTTTCTCTTATTACAACACGTGCTTGATGGATTACTTCCTCTTGCAGAAATAAGTGTTTTTATTGGGATGTTGTTGGCCTTGTATTTCCGTAACAGTTGGCTATAGTAGCTTATCTCCCGGTGCAAAGGGAGTATTAAATCTTGATGTTATACGAGGTGAAGATGAACCCTTGAGTCACAAAGGATTGGTGAGCGGAAATGCCAGTTGTAAACAAGCGTGTTTGTTATCGGAAGGGGATGATTTCAGGAAAACCAGACATTTGCTGTTTCTCAGAGACAATTTTGGCAAGATCTGTTACCTTGTCCCGAGTTGACACTGCTGATGGAAATAACCCCGGAGTACAAAGTTGTCCTCAAGTACCATTGTTGTAAACTCACTTCTCCTTTATGGTTCATGTGAGGAAGAGGGATGACTGGACTTTGATGATATTTGAACATTATAGTCCTGATAGTTGCTCAGAAGTGCAGCACAGCAGATTTCAGTATCAATGGTTGTTTCCTTTGCTTACCATCACAGGTGGATACACAGTTTGTGACAGTTTTGTGTGAGCCATTGCACCTACTATGTATGCAAAAACCAAAAAGAAACCTTGTGTCCTCATGGTTAAGACACATACTTTTGATTTGACGTTATTATTATTATTATTTATTCGCATAAATCACACGACCTGTTGTCCGCCTGGATGTTTTCTGGAAGGATTCCTGCTCTTTACTGTGCAACTAACAAGTGACTCCTTGATAGTTTGCTATAACATAAGATTCATACTGTCTTCTATCCAATACAAAGGCGTAATTGTAAAAATGACTCTTATTTTAGTCATTCTATTAGTGCATAGTTCAAAGTTCACCCATGAAAACCCACACATTTATTTACTCTGGTGATGGCAATTCCATGGTTATTTATTTCATTGAAAGATGTTAATTCTGAGCAGTTGCCATGCTCTTTATGTTTACCAAATGTGTCCTAAAAAGTTGGTTGAAACCATCAATAGGCAAGGGAGAGGGAGCATAAAATGTCACTGACAAAACAATACAAAATCAGAAGCGAGATACGCAATACCAAATCCAGATAAATAAAATAAGGCTGAATGTAGGCTAAGAATAGACAAAATGTAAGCATGTGTGTACAGTATGGAAATACATGCTAGAACATCCCACTGTGGTGCGGTAAAACAGTAGCTGAAACATAATGCATCATGCTAAATGTGGGGGATTTAAATTGTTGTCATATACGTCAACATAATACCGAAGAACCATCCATCCATCCTTTGTCAACCGCTTATCCTGCATACAGGGTCGCGGGGTAATACCAAAGATATAAAAGCTAATGTGACGTGGAGAGCATTTTACAACAGTGTCTCCTGCAGCCTGGTGGGGAATCAGGCGTGGTGGTGCAGCTGCCAATTTGCTGTAAGTGGAACGCTTTAATGTGCCGTGACCTCAGTAATAATGAAAGATTATCAAAGCAGTTTCTCCGTCTTTATCTTTCCACACATAGACCATGACCTAACACGAACCTGCAGCCAGGGTGTCACTACGTTTCCTTACTTATCTAAGTGTCTCTGTTTGGGACTTTTTCAGCATCATGACTGAGAGACTGCTTACAGAGAGACTGTATCACTATGCTCTGTGGTTCTTTGGATGTCTGTTTCCTTTGACAGTTATATTGCTAACATAGCCTACCATGACCATGTTGGTGGGCCTATTATCAGGTCTGTGCTATACTTGGAGGTCTACTAGTGTGACTGTTCTAGGATCTGGTGTTCACCTTTTCAATAAACAAAGAGTACCAATACAGATAAGAACTAAAGACTGCAACATGTTCGTCTCCTTTATGACATCTAACAATTAAATGTCATGCAAGTTGAAAACTAGCAGAAAACATTGCTATTTTGTACATATTTATAAGCTGGAAAATGCTGGTTTACTACCTTTTATCTTCAAGGAATTTAACGTAGTCGATACCGGAATTAATTCTTACTGATCCAGGTCAGCGATCGGCCGGCACTCTCAAATCCCACAACATCTCCAGGGCTTGTGTATCGCAGTGTATTGCTGCCAAGCTGTCCTCACTTGCCCTACCTGACTGGCTCAGACCCAAGATTGACAGTCTGCTGGAAGGGAAACCTGCCACCATCTGGAACATCTCAGGCTGCCAGTAACAGCCACAACCAGCTCACAGACAAAATGTTAAATCCCCTCGCTATATATCTATATACTGTAATGATTTACCTTTGCAGATCACAAGGGTTTAACACACAAAGGATGTTTGTGGTGGAGAAAAAAAATGTCCAGGTGAATTAACATTTATTCCATAGACGCAACATCAGAAAAACAGCTTGCACCATGAACCTCACTGTATTAGTTACAAAGGATACAAAGGAATGGAATAAATATAAATAAATTGAGGAGTTGTGGTTATGATTGCCTTGTCTATATTTTGTGTGCCTTACTGTCTCAATCAATCCCTTCTTCATTTACTAGGAAGTTTGTTTATCACATTAACAATACCATCAGACCTACAAATTGGGCTATATCTATAATGTATTCTTTTCACTAACAGACACTTTTTATTGAAAAGTGGACATGTTCCCCTATAAGTGCCGAAATGCAGATTTCGAGTGAGTCTCAAATGAAAGGCATTGTGCAAATTTGTCCTGCACTTTCATGTTAATAACTGGCTTTGTCTACTTTATTTTTTTTTAGAGCAAACCGTTTTAAGGTAGCGTTACATCCATAAGGTCGTTCAAGGTTTTAATCATTGTTGATTCCATGTAGTTGGCCATTACCTTTAATGACAGATCACCATGAAACTGTAGTTAATAGATATAATTTTGGTACTATGAGAATCAACAGATCATTCTCCTAGTCTATTTTTGTTCAGAACAGCTTGCTTCATGCAGAAAGAATAGGTGACACGCTAAGTCTTACGCGGGCCGTGTGGCTGCCCTAACCTGTTGACATGTGCACACGCGCTACTCAGGCAGGTGGTGTGGCCCAGGCGTATGGGCATCATAGACACAAAAAACATGACCCAGATCGCTGATGACCCAAAAAACATTGTAATCATACAGAATCCCATTTTAAGATTACAAATGCCAATTGAAGCAGAAGCTATATTCTGTTTGGTCTCTGTGCTCTTTAATTGAAATGGCAGTAAACCATCAACTAAATGCATGACAGGGCCAACAAAGCTTGAACATTTGATGCTACCCATGGAATTTGATTCCCACGAGTAGCAGAGAAATTGCAGCTTTTCATTTCACAATCCAATCTGTCTGAGGTATTACCTGACCCTGTATTTATGGGAGAGCCACTGATGCTTACTGGCCTCATAATCTTTCAGATACTGAGCTGAAAAACATCTGAAAAATGTATGAAGTCATAAAGACTTAATTATAAGCTACCTCTAAATGTCTTCATCATTGAATAATGAATAAACTAGTATACCATTCATCTCATCTTCTGGACTCTCTTCCACTGTCATTTCTTGAATGTGACATATTTAGGAGTAGGTCTGAGTCAGTCTGGATGACCTTTTAAGATCTTGACATTAATTGTCAGTGGCTCTAATAAAACCAGACAAGTTTTTGTGCACCCTCATGTGTTATGTGACCATAACACACACACTCACACACACACACACCCTACCAATTATTGTTTAGGCTCATTAAGCAGTGTGGTACAGGACACTTTAATTTCTCAGAATGTA